GAAGCTGCCCTGCCCCAACCTTTGTGAAATCAATGCAGCAAGCTTGGTTTCATTCTCATGATCTGGCTCTCGTTCTAGTTTCAAGCTACTTGCAATCTTTTTCTAAAACTGGAGAATATCAAACTTCATTTTTTGCTGGACAGTAATGTTAAAGTCTTTTGACACTGTTACCCAAATAACATTCTCAAATTTGGATTCAATCAACAGTTGGTTGTGGACATTCTTCATAATTGTTGTCTTGCCCACACCACCCATTCCTGAAACTGCAATTCTTGTAACCTTGTCTCCCTTCAACCATTTCAGAATTTTTTCTTGTATATCATCCCTGCCACTACATGTTTCAACGAGAAGTGGAAATCCTTTGATTGAGTGATCATCTCTGACCAAAATCACAGTAGCATTAGTGAATTGTTTTCCTTGCTCAAGTATTTGCCTCAATTCTTCAATTTTTCTCCTGAGGTTGGATAGAGAGGAGCATCCCCCTTGGTTGATTAGACCTTCAACCTTTATGCCAATCTGTTGGCCTGCTTTCTCTAGCCACTCTTCAACTTCCTTCCTTGCAATCTTTCCAGGTTGCATACGCTGAGTCTTCAAATTTGCTTCAACGTCTTCCTTTTGGTGCTTTAGCCTCTCTTGCTTTTCTTCAAATACAGTTGCCCAATACTCAATTGAGGGAGTATCTACGACCAAACTCTCATCAGCACTAGTGTACTTTTCTCCTTGCTTAAATATTCCTTCAATCAGTGATTGAGTCCTTTTATCGAGCTTTCTTGAGGAGCAAATATATGTCAAAAAGCCCCCTTTGCAGATTAGATCTTCAACCACTTTTTCTGTAGTTTCTTGGTCTGCTTTCTCTAGCCAAGCTTGAACTTCCTTCTTTGCAATCTTCCCTGGCTGCCTAAGTTGAGCATGCAGTTCTTCTTCAACGTCTTGCCGTCGGCGCTTCAGCTGTGTTTGCATTTCTTTGAATTCATTGACATAATCATTGTGACATATCTGATACTTGAAATATTTCTTAACTGTAGGTACAACATCCTTCACAATATTCACGATTGGTTCTATGACGTCCATTAAAGAGTTCCTGCATATATGAAATTGTTGGATATAAGCCTAATAATTGTGCCTTAAAACTTAAGTGAAACAAGGATAAGAATAAAGTATTTAGGAGAAATTAATAGTGGAAGTATCATGAATGACTAATTTAAAGTATTTGGTTTTTATAAATTTAGTAATTATTGAAAATTAAAATTAAAAATTAAAAATTTGTTTAAAACAAGTTTTAACATTGATAATAAAAAGTAAAAACTTATTTAATAGTATTAAAATTATTTTAATTCTTTTTTTCTATAATCTTACTAATAATTTTTTGTTCAAAGTTGCAAAATCTAAAAAAACCAAACGAAAGAAAAGAAGAGCACGACCATAATAAACTAAGTAATGATAAGAATGACAAATATATTAGAATTAATGTCACATTATTATAAATTAGTTGATGCATACAATATCATAAGTTTTAAAAAATAAATAGAATTAA